CACACACACACACACACACACACACACACACACACACACAAACACCACAATGACTATTTTTGTCTTACACCAAAGTAGAGCAAGTTGGTTAATAAACCTCAGTATACCGGCCGGGCTCAATGGCTCAGCCTGTAGTCCCAGCACTTTGGGAGGCTGAGGTGAGTGGATTGCCTGAGCCTGTGGGTTTGAGACCAGCCTGGGCAACTTGGTGAGACCTCATCTCTACAATAAATCAAAAATTAGCCGGGCATGGTAGTGCACGCCTGTAATTTCGGTTACTTGGAAGGCTGAGGCAGAAGGAAATGAGAGCCCAGTAGGTCGAGGCTGCGGTGGCTGGGAGCATGCCACTGCACTCCAGTCTGGGCAACAGAGTGAGACTCCAACTCAAAAAAAAAAAAAAAAAAAAAACCTCAATGTACTGATCACCCAGGTCCCACAGATCAATCTCCCAGGAAAGCTTGTTTTTTTGTGTCCCTCAAATACTTCCCCCTCCAAATTGTCTTTAGGCAGGTGCCATACCTTATACCATTTCACTTATAAATGTTTTTGTATGCATTTCTAAAAGATAAGGACCTTTTAAAAAACATAACCAAGGCTGGGCATGGTGGTTTACACCTATAATCCCAGCACTTTGGTAAACTGAGGTGAGAAGATTGCCCGAGCCCACAGGTTCGAGACCAGCCTGGGCAACTTGGTGAGACCTCATCTCTACCATAAATAAATAAATAAATAAGCCGGGTGTGGTGTGCGCCTGTAGTTGCAGCTACTTAGAAGGCTGAGGTGTAGCTGGGTTCGGTGGCTCAGCCTGTAATCCCGCGCCTTTGGGAGGCTGAGGTGAGTGGATTGCCTGAGCTTGCGGGTTCGAGATCTGCCTGGGCAACTTGGCGAGACCTCGTCTCTACAATAAAAAAAAATAAAAAATAAAAAATTAACCGGGTGTAGTAGCATGTGCCTGTAGTTCCAGCTACTTGAAAGGCTGAGGCGGAAGGATCACCAGAGCCCAGCAAGTTGAGGCTGCGGTAACCGGGAGCGGCCACTGCACTCTAGTCTGGGCGACAGACTCCAACTCAAAAAAAAATGGAAGGCTGAAGTGGAAAGATTGCCTGAGCTCAGCAGGTCGAGGCTGCGGTGGCCTTGAGCGTGCCATTGCACTCCAGCCTGGGCAACAGAGTGAAACTCCAACTAAAAAAAAAAAGAAAAAAAAAAAACCATAACACCATTCTTACATCTAAAAAAAGAACAGTGATTCCTTAATAACCAAAAATATCTGTTCCGTATTCACATTTTCAGTTATTTCGCAAATTTCTATTGTTAAGAGTTTGTTGAATTGGGATTTTTTTTTTTTTTGAGTTGGAGTCGCTCTGTCGCCCAGACTGAAGTGCAGTGGCATGCTCCCGGACACCGCAGCCTCCACCTGCTGGGCTCCGGCGATCCTTCCGCCTCAGCCTTCCGAGTAGCCGGAATTACAGGCATGCGCTACCATGCCTGGCTGATTTTTTGATTTATTGTGGAGATGAGGTCTTGCTGCCCAGGCGGGTCTCGAACCCGCGGGCTCAGGTAATCCATTCACCTCAGCCTCCCAAAGGCACGGGATTACGGGTTGAGCCACCGAGCCCGGCCCACTGGCGTAATCTTCCCTGGGAACTTTTTTTTTATTTGGGGTCTCACTCTGTTGCCTAGGCTGGAGTGCAGTGGCATGCTCATGGCTTATGGCAGGCTCAACATCCTGGGCTCAGGCAATCCTTCCACCTCAGCCTCCCGAGTAGCTGGAACTGCAGGCATGTGGCACCACACCCAGCTCATTTTTAATTTTTTTTTTTTTTTTTGTAAAGATGAAGTCTCGCTGTGTTGTCCGGGCTGACCTTGAACTACTGGGCTCAAGCAATCTTCCCGCCTTAACCTCCCAAAGTGCTGGTATTACAGGTGTGAGCCACTGTGCCTGGCCTCTCTGGGAACTTTTTTTTTTTTTTTTTTTT